CGTCGTGACAGCCACGTGTTGCCAAGAGGGGGGACAGAGCCGCCCTCCCTAGTTAGACAGCAAGCAACTTGTTTTTGTTGTACATTTTTGAATAGCTAGTGATTTTCTAATTCAACAGTCAAAATGATGGTCGTGTGTGGTGGCCCACAGGTGTAATCCCAGCACTTTGGGAGGCTGAGGCAGGAGGACTGCCATGAGTTGGAGGCCAGCCTGGGCTACACAGTGATTTCAAGGGCAGCCTGAGGTATGTAGTGAGACTTTGTCTCAAAAAAGAAAAACAAACAAACAAAACCAGACAATCAAAGTGACATAGAGAGGAATGCCTCCAGAAGTTTACTCCCACCCTGTCCCCAGCACCCTTTAGACCACACTGTCCCGACTTTTCCCATGCAAATTCAAACAAATATAACGAATACTCTGCCAGCTCACTCTGGTTTTGCTTTGTTTTGTTTTTTGGCTCTAGGGATTGAACTCAGGGCTTTGCCCTGAGCTACATCCCCAGCCCATTTTTTAAATTTTGAGGTGGCGTCTCACTGAATCGCCCAGGCTGGGCACCAGCTCAGGACCCCTATCTCTTGGGGTCACCGTGGGCCACCACGGAAGTGTGGCCATCCCCGTTATGCAGGAGGTGGCGTGGTGTATGTGCTGCTCTGCAGCACGCTTTGTCTCAGCGCCCACCCCACACTTTTCCTGTCTCTCCTGGGAGGCTGCTTTAAGAACAGCCGTGTAGTTTTCCACTGTGGGCTCTGTCATTGCTGGGCTCTTCACTGTCCAGTGTAATAGCCACCGATAGTCATTTAAATTAAGTAAAATTTAAGGTTCATTTCATCACTCCCACTGGCAGCATTTCCGTGTGTGTGTGTGTGTGTGTGTGTGTGTGTGTGTGCATGCGCTGGGGACTGAACCCAGGGCCTTCACACTGCTACACCCCAGTCCTTTTTTTTCTTTTGTCTTTTTGAGACAGGGTCTATGCACCCAGGCTGGTCTTGAGCTCACTTTGTAGCCCAGGCTAGTCTCAAACTTGCAAGGATCCTCCTGCCTCAGCCTCCTTGGTGCTGGGATTATAGGCATGTGCCACTACATCTGGCCATCTCAGTCCTTTTTATTCCAAACAGGGTCTCTAAATTACCCAGGCTGGGTCTGGGGATGTAGCTCAGTGGCACAAGCACCTGCTTGGCAAGTGCAAGGTCCTGAGTTTGATTCCCGGTACAAAAATAAATAAATAAATAAATAAATAACTCAGTCTGGGATTGTCTTGGTTACTTTTCTCTCATTGCTGGGACAAAATACCTGATGCCCAAAATTAAGGAAGGAAAGGTTTATTTCGCTTACAGTTTATGGAGGTTTCAGTCCATACTTGGCAGATTACAAGGCAGACTGGCACATGGCAGAGGGCTACAGCTCCTGGTGCAGAACACAGCAAAGCAACAACCACACACCAGGGAGGAATGGGGGAAGAATGGCCTCAAGCATTCTCTTCCTCTCCCTTACATATGCAAACTATCCACCCTTGGGTGGGTGTAGCTCTCACACCCACAATCAATCAACTCTAAAAGCCTGCCCCATGGCCGCATGAGGCTTTGGGGGGACACCCAGATACAAACCATAACAGGGATTAAATGTGCAACCTTCCTGCCTCAGCCTCCCAAGGTGCTGTGATTACAAGTGTGTGTCACCACCCCCAGCTGCTATCAGCATTTTGAATACTCACTAGCTATGCATTGCCAGTAGCTACCACAGGGCCCAGCAAGGAGAGCACATTTCTGCCACTTCAGAACTGGGGCCCCTGGTTGATTTTCTGCCTCTGGCCATTTTAGGGATAATAAAGCCCATCCTGGCTGAGCTGCTTAGGGAAACCCTGTCTCAAAACAACAACAACGACAACAAGGAGCCCCCCAGGATGCAGCCGGGAAAGTAGACCTGGGAATGCTGGGCCTTCCTCAGCTCCTGCTGAGGATTGGCAGGCGACAGGCCTCCAGGCCTGCCCCGTCCTAACCTTTGTCTCGCCCAAGGTCTGCCGCAGTGCAGGCCTCTGTCTTGCATTTGGTTAGCAAACGCTTTTCATTCTTTCCTGGTCCTGGTTGAACACAGGGCCTTAGCACTGAGCCACATCCACGCCTTTTAAAAATGGTTTGAGACAGTGTCGCTAAATTGGGCTTGACACTGCGACGCTGCTGAACCTCCCAGAGCACGGGGTCACAGGCCGCACCCCTCATCCAGGGCAGCAAGCCCTTCCTGAGACCCAGCTGGGCACGTAGGATTGGAAGGACACAGCCCAGGCCCGCCTAGGAGAGACCCACAGCCCCCAGAAAGGTCGCACCCCATTACCAGGGCCGCAGAGGCTACCTGACCCCAGGGCCCGCCACTCCCTCATCTGTGAGCATGCGCGGGGGCGGGGCCGGGGGTGGGCAGTGATCTCCTCCACTGCTGGGCAGCACATTGCAGATTTCAGAGGGCAGTTCTGTGAATATCAAAACTTAAAACCATAGGGCGTGGATGTAGCTCAGTAGCACAGTGCCTGCCTGGCAAGCGCAAGCTCCTGAGTTCGATTTCCGGTACCAAAACAAGCAAACAAAAAAACCCTTGAATCTTCAGCCCAGGAGTACCGTATCCCCTTTATAAATGTATCTTTCAGATGCACACAGAAGTGTGGACGAATACATCTACCAAGGTACTTCTTGTAGGCAGTGTAGTTTGTAGTAGCAAAGGCTCACACAACCTAACCCCCAGGAGGTGTGACCAGTGACATAGTACGGCAGACAGAGGCACATTGCTCAATAATACCTGGGATATCTGCAGAAAGGTACACCAACACTGCTACCTTTATTCATTTATTTTTTTAATTTGTTTGGTACCAGGAATTGAACTCAGGACCTTGCACTTGCCAGGCAGGTGCTTATGCCACTGAGCTACATCCCATATTCATTTATTTTATTTACATTTTGCTGATACTGGGGCTCCAACCCAGGGAGTACATCTTCAGCTCTTTTTATATTGAGATGGAGCCTTGCTAAGTGACCCATCTGCATCGAGCTTGCTGGCTTCTGCTTCAGCCTCCCCAGTAGCTGAGAGCACAAGAATGTGCCACCACCACCAGCACCTCCCCGTTCTCCATACCTCCCTCTTTCTCTTTCCGAGATTGAACCCAAGACCCTCCCACTGAGCTACATCTCCAGCCCTTTTAACGAATGTTTTTACTTCGAAACAAGGTCTCCCTAAGTTAGGATCCTCCTGCCTCAGCCTCCCAGAGTACTGGGATGACAGGCATGTGCTATACGGGGCCCCTTTTCGTTTTTTATAGACATCTACTGAGTAACGGTGAGGGGGAGGAAGTGAGGGAGATTCCTGGGGAAATCTGCTCAGTGCACAGCACTCCCATCGGAGGCGACAAGGCGACAACAATGCAGAACGTCACCCTGCCGACGCATCGTCCTCACTGGAAGCCCGGCCCTGTCTTGGTGTCGTGCCGCCCGTCTCCAGAAGAGGGCAGCACAGGCCCGGGCATTGGCCCCAGCCCGGGCACCAGCCGCTTCCCAGGAGCCGCGAGGCGCGCGGACAGAGGGCCGGCGCCGGGTCGCCCTAATTTAGCAGGCACAGCCCACGCGTCCTTTCCGGCGGCCGGACTGGCAGCGCCGGGGGCGCGCGGTGACCCGACTGGCCGGCC